CGAACGTTGCGGAGCATTGTGCAATCCCATACCATGTGCCAAGTCGAGCGACATTCGATGGCAAAATGTTTGCCGCCAGCAGGGGTCGAACCTGCGACCTTGGGCTTATTAGACCCACGCTCTAACCGACTGAGCTATGGCGGCTGATGCATTCAGAACACGGACGAAACATTTTCATTTTCCGCTCAAATCGCTGGAATTCATCAGCGAACGTTGCGGAGCATTGTGCAATCCCATACCATGTGCTAAGTCGAGCGACATTCGATGGCAAAATGTTTGCCGCCAGCAGGGGTCGAACCTGCGACCTTGGGCTTATTAGACCCACGCTCTAACCGACTAGCTATGGCGGCTGATGCATTCGGAACACGGACGAAACATTGTCATTTTCCGCTCAAATCGCTGGAATTCATCAGCGAACGTTGCGGAGCATTGTGCAATCCCATACCATGTGCCAAGTCGAGCGAAATTCGATGGCAAAATGTTTGCCGCCAGCAGGGGTCGAACCTGCGACCTTGGGCTTATTAGACCCACGCTCTAACCGACTGAGCTATGGCGGCTGATGCATTCGGAACACGGACGAAGCATTTTCATTTTCCGCTCAAATCGCTGGAATTCATCAGCGAACGTTGCGGAGCATTGTGCAATCCCATACCATGTGCCAAGTCGAGCGACATTCGATGGCAAAATGTTTGCCGCCAGCAGGGGTCGAACCTGCGACCTTGGGCTTATTAGACCCACGCTCTAACCGACTGAGTATGGCGGCTGATGCATTCAGAACACGGACGAAACATTGTCATTTTCCGCTCAAATCGCTGGAATTCATCAGCGAACGTTGCGGAGCATTGTGCAATCCCATACCATGTGCCAAGTCGAGCGACATTCGATGGCAAAATGTTTGCCGCCAGCAGGGGTCGAACCTGCGACCTTGGGCTTATTAGACCCACGCTCTAACCGACTGAGCTATGGCGGCTGATGCATTCGGAACACGGACGAAACATTGTCATTTTCCGCTCAAATCGCTGGAATTCATCAGCGAACGTTGCGGAGCATTGTGCAATCCCATACCATGTGCCAAGTCGAGCGACATTCGATGGCAAAATGTTTGCCGCCAGCAGGGGTCGAACCTGCGACCTTGGGCTTATTAGACCCACGCTCTAACCGACTGAGTATGGCGGCTGATGCATTCAGAACACGGACGAAACATTGTCATTTTCCGCTCAAATCGCTGGAATTCATCAGCGAACGTTGCGGAGCATTGTGCAATCCCATACCATGTGCCAAGTCGAGCGACATTCGATGGCAAAATGTTTGCCGCCAGCAGGGGTCGAACCTGCGACCTTGGGCTTATTAGACCCACGCTCTAACCGACTGAGCTATGGCGGCTGATGCATTCGGAACACGGACGAAACATTGTCATTTTCCGCTCAAATCGCTGGAATTCATCAGCGAACGTTGCGGAGCATTGTGCAATCCCATACCATGTGCCAAGTCGAGCGACATTCGATGGCAAAATGTTTGCCGCCAGCAGGGGTCGAACCTGCGACCTTGGGCTTATTAGACCCACGCTCTAACCGACTGAGCTATGGCGGCTGATGCATTCAGAACACGGACGAAACATTTTCATTTTCCGCTCAAATCGCTGGAATTCATCAGCGAACGTTGCGGAGCATTGTGCAATCCCATACCATGTGCCAAGTCGAGCGACATTCGATGGCAAAATGTTTGCCGCCAGCAGGGGTCGAACCTGCGACCTTGGGCTTATTAGACCCACGCTCTAACCGACTGAGCTATGGCGGCTGATGCATTCGGAACACGGACGAAACATTTTCATTTTCCGCTCAAATCGCTGGAATTCATCAGCGAACGTTGCGGAGCATTGTGCAATCCCATACCATGTGCCAAGTCGAGCGACATTCGATGGCAAAATGTTTGCCGCCAGCAGGGGTCGAACCTGCGACCTTGGGCTTATTAGACCCACGCTCTAACCGACTGAGCTATGGCGGCTGATGCATTCGGAACACGGACGAAACATTTTCATTTTCCGCTCAAATCGCTGGAATTCATCAGCGAACGTTGCGGAGCATTGTGCAATCCCATACCATGTGCCAAGTCGAGCGACATTCGATGGCAAAATGTTTGCCGCCAGCAGGGGTCGAACCTGCGACCTTGGGCTTATTAGACCCACGCTCTAACCGACTGAGCTATGGCGGCTGATGCATTCAGAACACGGACGAAACATTTTCATTTTCCGCTCAAATCGCTGGAATTCATCAGCGAACGTTGCGGAGCATTGTGCAATCCCATACCATGTGCCAAGTCGAGCGACATTCGATGGCAAAATGTTTGCCGCCAGCAGGGGTCGAACCTGCGACCTTGGGCTTATTAGACCCACGCTCTAACCGACTGAGCTATGGCGGCTGATGCATTCGGAACACGGACGAAACATTTTCATTTTCCGCTCAAATCGCTGGAATTCATCAGCGAACGTTGCGGAGCATTGTGCAATCCCATACCATGTGCCAAGTCGAGCGACATTCGATGGCAAAATGTTTGCCGCCAGCAGGGGTCGAACCTGCGACCTTGGGCTTATTAGACCCACGCTCTAACCGACTGAGCTATGGCGGCTGATGCATTCAGAACACGGACGAAACATTTTCATTTTCCGCTCAAATCGCTGGAATTCATCAGCGAACGTTGCGGAGCATTGTGCAATCCCATACCATGTGCCAAGTCGAGCGACATTCGATGGCAAAATGTTTGCCGCCAGCAGGGGTCGAACCTGCGACCTTGGGCTTATTAGACCCACGCTCTAACCGACTGAGCTATGGCGGCTGATGCATTCGGAACACGGACGAAACATTTTCATTTTCCGCTCAAATCGCTGGAATTCATCAGCGAACGTTGCGGAGCATTGTGCAATCCCATACCATGTGCCAAGTCGAGCGACATTCGATGGCAAAATGTTTGCCGCCAGCAGGGGTCGAACCTGCGACCTTGGGCTTATTAGACCCACGCTCTAACCGACTGAGCTATGGCGGCTGATGCATTCGGAACACGAACGAAACATTTTCATTTTCCGCTCAAATCGCTGGAATTCATCAGCGAACGTTGCGGAGCATTGTGCAATCCCATACCATGTGCCAAGTCGAGCGACATTCGATGGCAAAATGTTTGCCGCCAGCAGGGGTCGAACCTGCGACCTTGGGCTTATTAGACCCACGCTCTAACCGACTGAGCTATGGCGGCTGATGCATTCAGAACACGGACGAAACATTTTCATTTTCCGCTCAAATCGCTGGAATTCATCAGCGAACGTTGCGGAGCATTGTGCAATCCCATACCATGTGCCAAGTCGAGCGACATTCGATGGCAAAATGTTTGCCGCCAGCAGGGGTCGAAGCTGCGACCTTGGGCTTATTAGACCCACGCTCTAACCGACTGAGCTATGGCGGCTGATGCATTCGGAACACGAACGAAACATTTTCATTTTCCGCTCAAATCGCTGGAATTCATCAGCGAACGTTGCGGAGCATTGTGCAATCCCATACCATGTGCCAAGTCGAGCGACATTCGATGGCAAAATGTTTGCCGCCAGCAGGGGTCGAACCTGCGACCTTGGGCTTATTAGACCCACGCTCTAACCGACTGAGCTATGGCGGCTGATGCATTCGGAACACGGACGAAACATTTTCATTTTCCGCTCAAATCGCTGGAATTCATCAGCGAACGTTGCGGAGCACTGTGCAATCCCATACCATGTGCCAAGTCGAGCGACATTCGATGGCAAAATGTTTGCCGCCAGCAGGGGTCGAACCTGCGACCTTGGGCTTATTAGACCCACGCTCTAACCGACTGAGCTATGGCGGCTGATGCATTCGGAACACGAACGAAACATTTTCATTTTCCGCTCAAATCGCTGGAATTCATCAGCGAACGTTGCGGAGCATTGTGCAATCCCATACCATGTGCCAAGTCGAGCGACATTCGATGGCAAAATGTTTGCCGCCAGCAGGGGTCGAACCTGCGACCTTGGGCTTATTAGACCCACGCTCTAACCGACTGAGCTATGGCGGCTGATGCATTCAGAACACGGACGAAACATTTTCATTTTCCGCTCAAATCGCTGGAATTCATCAGCGAACGTTGCGGAGCATTGTGCAATCCCATACCATGTGCCAAGTCGAGCGACATTCGATGGCAAAATGTTTGCCGCCAGCAGGGGTCGAAGCTGCGACCTTGGGCTTATTAGACCCACGCTCTAACCGACTGAGCTGACGAAACATTTTCATTTTCCGCTCAAATCGCTGGAATTCATCAGCGAACGTTGCGGAGCATTGTGCAATCCCATACCATGTGCCAAGTCGAGCGACATTCGATGGCAAAATGTTTGTCGCCAGCAGGGGTCGAACCTGCGACCTTGGGCTTATTAGACCCACGCTCTAACCGACTGAGCTATGGCGGCTGATGCATTCAGAACACGGACGAAACATTGTCATTTTCCGCTCAAATCGCTGGAATTCATCAGCGAACGTTGCGGAGCATTGTGCAATCCCATACCATGTGCCAAGTCGAGCGACATTCGATGGCAAAATGTTTGCCGCCAGCAGGGGTCGAACCTGCGACCTTGGGCTTATTAGACCCACGCTCTAACCGAGTGAGCTATGGCGGCTGATGCATTCAGAACACGGACGAAACATTTTCATTTTCCGCTCAAATCGCTGGAATTCATCAGCGAACTCCAAGCACAGTCACCGTCATCATCCCATGCACATTGCGTTTGTAATTTGTTGTTAACGCAGCTGCAAAGGGAAGTGAACTCTGTTGCGTGTCAGATGTAAAGGTAGTCTCAAAAGAGGCCACTCGCAGCTCGCTCGTTACAAGCGTGTTTTGAATGCAAATGGAATTGAACCTTCATATCTATATTAGCCTCTCTGATTCTTTTCCATTGCAGCTTACGTACCACCTAGCTATTTTCAAGTTTTTACATAGGCTATTTTTAGGACCAATTAAAGAAGTATTCACTATTTATAATGCGTTAGACTCCCTAACTCAAAATCATATTGCTCTGGCAGCTATGCAGTTTGGCAGGGAACACGACAAAGTCAAGGTGAAGCTCGCTTCCTCAATAGCTAAATGTCGGGATCATTTAAGGCAGTGAGTGTGATATTAATTGAGAGGGTATTGAAACTGAAAGAAGGCCCTTCCTTTTATTTGCCAATACTACCTTTCCATACATTTTTCTGCTGCCACTCTTCCCTTCTCTAATGCATCATAACTAGCCATGGATGATAATCCTCAAGCATCAAAAAACTACCTTTCTTACACATGAAGCAGCAAAGGCGAAGTTGCTAGGAGCTATGCTTTAATTTATCGTTCCCCTCCACAGATCGTGCTACCCTTGTGGCTTCGCGGACGTGCCACGTGTGACTAACACGTTGGCAACGTTGGCAGCAACACGTTGGCAACATGCAGGAACATGTTGGCGTGGCCAAAATGTTTTGCCAACATGTTGTGGCATGTGCAAACATGTTGTTGCCACGTTGCCAACATGTTAGCCACACGTGGCAGGTCTGAGACGCAGACCAAGGTAGCACGATCTGTGGAGGGGACGATACCTAAGACAATGCATTAGGGCAGGAATCAACTATTTTTTGATTGTATTGCTTTTATTTCGTGAGCCACTGCACCAAAGCTAACGTATTCCCAAAAGGCTCTGCAATTTGAGAACTGGTTACAAGAGACAGGCACCTGACTTTTTGAGGAGAGACTAAAGGAACCATCTTGTTGCTATTCGGATGCTATTGTTCGTGCATAGAAGTTGAATCATATCTTAAGAGGATTACCTCTCTTGTCCGAGCGGCCGATTGAGATGTGATATACGCTGGAATTCAACAATGAAGCTATTCTCGAAACTGTGACCGTTTTGTGCGGAAAGTTTCCTGAGAAACCTGTGGCGTCAGAAACAAAAATGCAAAGGCGCTGCTTGTGAAAAGGTCTTAACATGCGAACCCCTGTCAATGAATGAACATCATACTCGCGCTTCACCATTCTACAGTTTGCCCAAGTCGGGATCAGGCCGAACAGTTGGGGTGAAGTGCGCGCTTGCAGCACTAGGGGTTTACGACGCATATGCGCACTATCGAAAAGAGCGAAGAGATTGAGGAGAGGGCATACAAAGAGACCGTACGGATGATGCAAAACCCTAGATGCGCGAACTCCGCCATTCCAATTTTGGCCGATTGAGGCAGACTGTATGGTGATAGCAAGTGCGCACTACTTCCATCAAGCGATGTGTTAACATGGCCAAAAATTTTTCAAAAAGAGTTTGCAGTAATAAGGACTGCAGGTTTAAGAACAGCATTCATCACTGAGTTCAGCAACATAAACCTTATCTTGAATGGCCACATCGATAAGAAGGATTCCTCCGTAGACAAACTTGCAAATTACTGACATCCCATACAACACGTTGTTAAGCAAATATTTAGTACTACGACTTTATCGTCAGAAATAACAATGGATTGTTTAATGTTATGGATAAGTACGTGATGGAATACTGTGAAAGAGTGAATAGATTGTACAGCGCCAAAGCGCGGCAATATGCCATGCTTGTAAGTATTTGCAAGTCTCATGTTCTCATTTGAAGTGTATAATAAATGCTATCATGTAGAGGAACGACTTGCGTGTCTTGAACCATAATGCATAGAGCCACGGATTTGAGATTGAACTTGTCACGATACTTGATTTGATAAACATGCTTATATGGAAGGTCTTTCAAAGGCATCCATAGATTCTTTACAATTTATAAAACAATGCGCGTGGCGTGTGCATCTATTTCATAATTGCGCTCATCAAGTTCTTCCACATGTTAGCATTGGGCGTATACTGGGAATCGCATTTTCGCATATTGCAGATGACAGTTATTCTTGAGTGTGGATTTCACCTTACTTTCGAAAAGAAGAGTTTGGATCATATCAAGCCTATGGTCTTAGAATGGGCAAAAAAGTCAGTTTTTGATTGTTGTCAAAGACATCAACAGAGTAGTGATGAGGCTCCCGAATGGGTCTGCTTCCCTTGCCCATTCCAAACTATGCACAACGACTGGATCCGTATCAATTGATACCGGATAGCCGCTCGCAGCCGCACCGTGTAATAACTACTGAGTTGTGACGCACCTTACTGCGCTGCGCTTTGCGGCAGTCCCCTCGCTTCTCTAATCCTCTATTTCGGCTACAGTCTCTCACCATCATACTTTGAAATGCGAAAAGAGCTAGATTATACCATCGTAACGGTCAGAAATCTCTATTGAATGAAGGTCTCAATAAAGAAGTTTCAAGGAAGAATTTTCTGAGAACATTCAGACGGACAGATCTAGAAAAATGGTTAGAAATACTTGAGCGATTGGAACGTACGACTTTTTCAAATCACCCTGATTTCACGCATATAGAACGCGGGGGATTTTTTCTAGAATCGATTAGCACAGACACGCCAAAGGACTTCGCGATTTAAAAACTATTTATAGTGCTGCATATTGCCCAAGGTTATCGTGAGAGTGAGTCTCGTTTTCCGAAGCACAACAAGACGGCTGAGCGGCATGCTTGAAAAACAGAAAAAAGTGGATCTTGTACGCTTGGAATTGGGGTATTTGAATTCAAATATTCGAATATTGATATATCATAAATGTGATTTTTGAGATAGTATTCGGATATGGTAGAATGATTCATTTCAAATAAAATCTAGGTTTGAAAAAAAATTCAAATCGTTTTAAACCTAAGAAGGTAGCGAAAACACGCATAGTGAAGAATAAAAAGTTAGGTCGTTTTGATGCAGCTCCTCTGCTCTTTGTTCAATTTACCAGCTAATTACCCTGTGAGGGAGACTGGCTTTGAATGGCAAAATCATGTAATATCATTTAGAGTTCATACCTAATTATTACAAAAAGACACGAGATATTGCCATGCTCTGATCGTCATGTTCAGTTTGTGAATGAAGAAGCCGGAATTTTTAGAAGACATTCAGTTTTTCGGGAGGCGGGAGAAACAGTTCAAACCGATAAATCTCACCAGAGTTGAAACGTATTGAAATAATCTTTGAAGATCGTTGGAAATCAAAATGATTAATTGTCAAGAAAAGAAGAAAGAGATTTAACGATTGTTAAAACTCAAAATGATTAGGTGTCAAGAAAAGAAAAAAAAGATTTGACTTTTGTTTTTTAAGTTTTGACTGATTTGCTAGTAGATACCTGATTTACTGACTCGTCGTGTCAGTGCACATATTCCACAGTTATTGGTATTGGCTGTGCCATCAGAACTGCGACGAAGGTTTTTTCGCACCTGAGAGTGTGTGAATCGGCAGGAAATTGAGACTTCGTAGCGCAAGGCATGTACAGGGCTTTTCAACCTGAGAGTCGCAAGTTTCGCTTGCGCGGCTGCTCCAACGCGGCCGCTTCGCTCGGGCCGCGCGCGGCGTTTGCTGCGTATCGGCCCGGATTTCGCCAAGCTTCAGTCGACGCGCAGCCAGTGCCACGAACGCTGCGCGGACCTAAGCGTGGCGTCCTAGCGGGGCGGGTGGGACACTCAGGTTGTAAAGCCCTGTATAAGCTGCTGCATGACGAAGGTCAATATTTTTGGACGCGAGTACGGTCTCATTGGCCGCAGAGTGAGGCGCAGGATTTACAACTTTGAGTAGACGCGCGCGCAGCGTTCGCTCACTTAATACTGCTTTTGCGCCTACGCATGCAGCAGCCTTTGAAGACATTCCGGAAAAGGCGGGGGTTTTGAGATTTCAGCATGCGAAAATGGCCCCCCTTCGGTACAGCATCGCGCAAGTACGAGGTTATAACGTTCGGCCCAAAGCAAGAAAAACGATCGGGAAACGGGGGAACTTACGCCCTGGAGCGGGGTCCTCCGACCTGTTCGAGTTCCTGCTATGCGGCAGAGTATGCATGCCGCCACAGTCAAAATCGTAGGGTCCCGCAGCGACTCTGCGTCTCAGCCTTGGCGGGGACAGTCGAATTTTAATTTGTAAGGCTTTGGAAAACGCATGTTCCCGCCGTTCGCGCCTTCTAATGTGGAGTTTCGCATTCAGCGTTGCGGATAACTTTCGGTAAGTGGATTTTCTAAAGATCGAATTTTTGCCCGGACGCTGCCTTCAAGCTTGTATAGCTCCTCACCAGGGTCAAGCAAGGGGTGTGGCACCCGATCGCTGGTTACGACCCCCCCCCCCTGAACTATATACCTAAGATAGCATTACCAGAGTTGAGAAAGAGGTCAGGCACAAGTCTTTCGAGAACAACCCCCCCCCCTCCTCCCATGAAAGCCCTCAAACGACCCCTTCTTCCTCCTCTTAACCTCTGGACCTCAAAGTGTGAAATTCTGGAGGACACCAGCTTTTTTAGAGAGTTTTCAAATTTCTGAGAGCTGTACGCCCGATTTTCTGTGACTGCACTTTACAATCACACGTAATTTGACGGCTGATTTTGATCTGAATGGGCATATTGAAAGGGCCATAATTTTCTTATGGGTGGGGCGATCGGCTCCGAGTTTCCAGTGTAGCAAGAAGAAGTTATGTGCTCAATACTCGCAATGGAGCGCTTTCTGGATTTTGAAGGCAAGTTAAGGGGGTGTGCCGCACCCCATTAACTATATCAAAAGAACATTTTTAGCGGACAGTATTTATATGAATCGATAGCCTAAACCTTGTAGATTCCATAGGACTGTTTGGAGCCTGATTCGTCTTCTTAGCTCTGAGTAATATTTGGTGAAAGCACAGCGATCAAATTCGAAAAATGGGAAAAACGAGATTTTGGTTGGCTTCTAATTCCACAGTTTGCAGGTCTTCTGAAGCGGGATTCCTGAGGTGGACAAAGAAGGAGCAGTGCTTTGTCTTCAGTGCAAAAACGGAGATAGCTAATTCACCTTTGAAACAAAGTTAACCATGTTGGAATTTGACCATTTCATTTGGGTAACCTAGTATCTTGAATCTTCAGAATTCGCTCACACTTTGTCTACAGGGGTTAATTGGCATGCTAGTTATGGGTATGATACAAATATCATGTTATCATTATTATCAGATTACCCAACTACGACCCCCTCCCCCCTTTTGACTCCTCAATACGACCTCCCAGGTATGGCGTGCCGCACCCCACGCTTGACCTTGCTCCTCACTATTTATCAACCAAAGCGACTGCAAGCGGATATCCGGCTATCACTCGACCGCCTTCCTTTGCGACCTCAAATGCGCACACTATTACATTGTGCGAACACTGGAAGAGCATTGCCAGACTACTGCTAGATGCTGAGATGGCCTGTTGTTGGTCAGCGGTGTAGTTCCAGCAATCAGGTGCAGTTGGCTTACTTTTTCACAAACACACCTACCCATCTTGTATGGAGTCGTCAATGAGTTTTTGCTGTGATGTTTGTATTTTGGTGCTCAAAGAACCGTTCAACCAGATTCCGACTTCCATGGTTTTGTCGTGCGGGCTTTCTCATGTATTTGATTCCGAATATAAAGTCGAGAATTGGTGAAAACCCTAAATACCCCCGTTTCAAAGAATCCGGGGAGCGGGTTTTTCAGGCGGTGCCATTAAGACAAAGATAAGGTCCTCAAAGTTTTGTGATGAAACTTCTTCACTGCTGCTAATAGGGCCCTTCAAATATCTGCCTTACGAGGTGCAGGGCATTAGACATTCTTCAAAGCAATTCGTAGCAGCAAAGCCATTTGCGCATTGAGCATCTCTTTGTTGGTTTCTACCATAGCTTAGATGAGACAATGCGCAAACACTGACCATTTACAAAAGCTGTTCAAATCTTCTCAAACGTAAAACAAGTTAGACACTTTGAGTTGTTCCTGGGACTGATTCTGACCCTCCTATATCGAAAGCAACTCTTGACAGCTTTCTTACCTATAGCTGTGGAGGGATATCTTGCCTGCCTCCATGTATAAATGCTACAGAAACTAAGTATGGTTTGCAAACATTATCAGCTGAATGTCAGGTATAAGAAACTTGATGCATGGGCTCAGAAAAGTTTTAAGGATGAATTTGGCTACCTTGAAAAAGAGTTGCGAAAAATATCAAAGTAGGTGGCACTTCGGTTACGATTTTATGCGTTTTGTTTTCGGTTCATGCTGATGTTCAAATGTTTTTTCTGAGTTTAGGTTTTCCTGAATGCCAGCTGTAATCCTGCATTGAGAAGAACTCCGCATCTGCAATGATATCTTTATTTTCAACCATTTAGCAATTACATCAATATGTACATAATTGTTGCAGTGTTATATTTGAGAGTAAATAGTGAAATTACGAGAACGTACCACAATTTCATCACAAACCTAATAAGATCTCAATCTTTTTTTTTTTGAAGTTATTATGCGGATCGGCAACAACCTTTCTTAGAAACTGGCAGCGATGTGTCGCTCGAGAGCTTGACTCCATTGGTACCATTATTAAGATTACTTGCTGTGCCTGCTCGATAAATTTTTGTGAGAACCTGTGTAAATGCCTTCTCAACGTTTGAGCTATCCAAAGCCGAGGTCTCTGGAACAAACAGTTATACAGATGCAAATACTACGCTTATTTACAGAATTGACTAACCAATAAAGGTGAGGTTATTCTCCTCTGCAAATTTTTTCGCTACATCTGATGAGACTTTACGTAGGTTTCTCAGATCAGATTTGTTCCCGACAAGCATTACCGTTACGTTTTCCGATTGTTCGCGTAAATCTCGCAACCACTGCTTACATGATTCGAATGAACTGGGCTTTGCTGAAAAACGCTAACGTTAAATGGGTGCTGAAGACAACACGACACAGCAATTTGGAAATGCCATTAAAGAAAATGCGATATACAGTCTGTGGGGTGTGTAATTATGCTTTGAACAGATACACGTCTTCAAGTTATTTTGAGGCGTAGCGAGTAAGTAGACTACTTTCAACTAGACATGTGGGGGTTTTCCACTTACTGATTTGTTGCTTATTTCTATTCTCCGAGAGATGGAAAATTTCACATCATCATCAAATTTCATCTGGTGATAAGATTGATGCAGAAATTCTTTTGGGAAGAACCAAAAATACAGGCACAGCAAAGCGCAGAGGTTACATTACTTATACATTAGGCCTTGGCCATACCTCAGGCAATTTAGTTAGGAAGCGATTTGGCTATACTCTCATCCTGCGCGCTGGGTAGAGAGCACAGAGGATTTCATTAAATTATGAAAGCTGCATTATGGATTTGCGGTCTGCCAATGTTGGGTTAAAAGGTATCTGACAGTTGCCAGATCGCGTGTGACTGAAACCAAGTGAGATATGGCCAAGGCCTTACAAATCATGATGCTTACTTTGGGTACTAGGGACAATCATAAACATGTCATTATTCACCAGCGTGAGTGGAAGTGACGCGAGTACTATGATGGTGTGTATTAGACAAAACTCGTAGTAGAGTTTACTCACAAGGGTAGTATTTCAATGGCCCGTAGCGCTACGAGATGCCAACCAAAGCAGTTTTGAACGCTAATTCCAAATCTGCAATCCATTTCTGCCTAACGCTCTTCTGAAGGGCGTGAAGGTTTCAAATCCTCGTTTTTGGGCGCTTCTTGAGTTCGAGGTCTATGTCTATGACGACCCCTTTAAATGAATTCCGTGCGCTGTTTGACACTCTAGCTCAAGTGTGTTAGAAGTAAGCCAACATCTGAGTTACCGGCCAGATGCTCATAATCTAACAAGGGAAGCCTTTTTTGGTCGGGTGGCCTTTCCACGTGACCTACGTCGCTTTGTAGAGCATTGAACAGTAATTTCAAATCTCTGTCTTCCTTATCTGCCAAGCGCCTCTGGGGGCCGAGATATAATAGGCCCTAGTTGAAAAGTTGAATTCGACTGACACAAAATGAAAACTCTCAAAAAGTTAGCATAAATCATCAGAACACTTCAATTTATGAATAGCTTCTGTCTAATACATTCGTGCTCGATGTTTTATTTGAGCTCTAAAGATTTTAACCATTGTTTTTACGTAGATTCTGCGCTATTTTCCTGCCTCAAAAAACGCTTACAACTCGGCGTCCACGGGCGCCTAAGACCTCGGACAGAGTTCACGCGATTTGATCGTCGCGATTCAATCGCCGCGATTTCCATTCGTTTTCATTTTACATTCAAATTCTCGGGCTGGAAAAGTATCACAACCGAAATGCAAACCGGTCGGCATGCAATGAACTCGTAACAGTTGTCTTGTCGCGATTGAATCGCGACGATTAAATCGCGTAAACTCTGCCCGAAGCCTAAGATAATAAAAATAATTGCGGAATTAGCGTTCAGTGTTTAAAGTAGCACAGAACGCATTTATATAGGCCACTTCGACCAAAAAGTCTTCCCTTGTAAGCCAACAGCTTCGGCTTGGCTTATGACAGCCTGTTTGCAAGAAGGGGTAGAAGAAAGTCCCGCAAGTTGCTCGTATTTACGGGAGACTAAGATGAAGTAATGCTACTGGCAACTTGGCAAGATGCACAATTTCGTTGGTCTAGGAAAGAGCTTGATAGCGTACATTATTGATTCTTCAGTAGTGGCCCGCCTCAAAGATTGCCTTGAGTTGTAACTTTCGATTCACCTGGCTTGGCTTCAGGAAGGCGGAGCTCTATGATGACGCTCTAGACGCAGGTGCGTCGAGAGCTCATAGAACTCTCGACGCACCTGCGTCTAGAGCGCCCAATTAGGGCACTCGCGCCCGCGACGCACCTGCGTCTCTCTGGCGCGAGTGCTCTCTGATGGTGCACTTAGCCTTAATTAGGTTGAGAAGCCCCGCCTTCCCAAAGCCAAGCCAGTTGAATCAAATGGTAGCATTGGTGCCACTCGTGGCCTGGTCAGGTCAAGTTGCAGAAGCTCATTCATTTGGACAAAATTGCTCGGTAAAATTGCTCTTTCTTTGAAGACGCGCATTTCTACAAAGCGATCCGCATTCATATCAATAGCTTACTTCATGCTAGGCTGAAGCGCCGCAAAATCTGCATACGCCCGCCTCAGCTGAGTTGGGATGATAAGGGCTTACGGGCCTGAATCGAACACTAATGATACTCAACATGAATGATAAGAACCTCAATGCATTTGAACTTGGAGGGCAAGCGTTAGGCGACAAAACGTGCAAAACGCAAGCAACGTAAATCCGGTAACTCAGGACTATGCACCATTTTTTCATTGGCGTCGGGTAATGTATAGGCCCCGACCCCCACCCCCCTGTTTTTGGCGGAGGAGACGTTTTGCACGGGGAGTTCTTTGGGGTCAAAAAAATTGGGTTTGTCGCCTAACGCCCTACACCCTTTGAACTTCGATGTTATTGGTAAACCAGTGCGTCACCTCCGCTTCGCGGAGGTTCGCACTGACTCTTTTTCCGTATGCCTTCCTCATGTTTGCATAATGATGACTTTGAAACTCACCACGTGATGCTGAACATCACAAATGAATCGTAAACAACTGTTCATTTTTGAAGCATCTCCATGTAAGATCGGTAATTTTGAGAAAAAAACTTTTTTGCCGAGGGAAAAATGCGAATTTGAATGGATTACTGAATTTATTTCGGCTTGGTAGTCGTTATAAGGATAATAGTCACTTTGAGCTACATTTCCGTGCGAAAATCCTTTCGTATTTCGAGGTAAAACCTTGCCAAATCGACTATATACGCGATTACCACTTTTCGCGCTGTTTTCGCAGAAAAACAGACTTTTTGAACACCTTTTGGGCTAGAATTCATGGCACGCAGATTTACATGTCAGGCAAATCATGAATTTGCAAAAAGTCGAATTAGCGATCTAGTTTCTACTGCCAAAAGCCGCGTAGACCGGTTTGACGCGCCAAATTTTATGGACCCGTTCATCGAACCGACTCGCCCTTGTACATAGTGGACCTACATGTTGGTGCGGAATGTTATGCAAAAATGTAGCTCGATAGCTTGGCTGCATGAATTTTTCCTCCATGAATTTCGTGACAAACAGACATACAGATACACACACGCACAAAAAGACAGACGCTTAGCGCTTTATTATTAGTCATGATACAAAACTTTCAGCGTGAAATGTCTTGAAGAAACTCTGTATGATGTTTATAAGGCTGCGTTCATATTGTTCGCAAAGTTAAAGGAAACAGTTATAATAGCACAGCGCTCAGTTCGAGCGTTGTGCTGGAACTGTTCTCGAACTTCGGAAACTGTATGAACACAGTCTAAGTTCGACGCCTGTTCATGTGACCAAAATCGGTGTGTATCTTTTAACCTGAATGTCTCTCTGTATATCTGTATGTCTATATGTGTGTCATGTCTGTACTTATGTTCCCAATAAAATTTTTTGTTCCTCAACTAATCCGGACCGGGCATCCTGCTATTTTCCGTCATCGATCGATATCGATTTTATCAATTTCTATCGATTTTTTGCAAAGTTCGATCTACGGTGCTGGGAGTTGGCACAGGGAGGTAAATGGGTATGCTGATTACGACAACAAGACGGGAATAAGGAATCGGTGTGTAGTAGTGGGCACAGAGAAGGGCTGCACACGCATAGGGGCCCTTACTATAGTGTTTTGACAGTCGGGCGGAGCCAACATATTTAAGCCAGCTAATGTTATGAATAATCATAGAGCTTATCAGAATATGGAGTTCGGCAACTAAAAGAATTTGTGCAAAAAATCTCACTGATATCATAGACGATTAGTGCTCCCTGCGCTCCCCTATAGTATGCTCCAGTGACAGTCTTGAATCTTTCCTGGCCGGCTGTATCCCAAATCTGAGCCATTACACGTTTTTCGTCAACCTGTAAGTTGTTTATTGAAGTGAATTAAATGCATTTAGCCAATACTCTTGCTTGTTTGACACTGATAACTTTTACTTAAATAAAGAGTGTTGCACTTTGTCTATAAGCATTATACTAAAAATGCTAGAAAGTGATGTAAAATGATGTATACTAAAAACTCAGAAATTTAACATCTACTGTAAGATAGAAATAACCTACTGTGACTATTCTGGTCGAAAATTCGACTCCAATCGTCGACTTTGATTCAGTACTAAAAGTATTTCTTGCAAATCGAGAAAGGAGGTTAGATTTTCCGACTCCAGAATCACCAATGAGAATCACTGAAATTTGGACATTAAGCATCAAAAATTCCCTTCACAAATGCCATTCCATCACCGACGTTGCAAAAAGTAACTTTTATACCTTTGTACAAAAAATCGTAATCATCGCTAAGCATAACCATTTCACGATACCTATACTTCTAGCTATGAACAACGTTCTCACTGGGGCGACTCCAGTTATGCGTATCTGAACAGGAGCAGTATCAGAAAGAGGAACATTTCATGCGAAAATTGAAGAATATAAAGACTATAGTATGCAAGGATCGATTATTTCTGAATGCTATCAAATGCGACACCGTTAAGATAACGGACGCGGCATATTATGGAGGCTCTTACGAGCCTACTATCAATGGGTGCTTCCGTGGCTTTATCTATGAATGACTAGACGTTGCACACGAATTTTTACTACCCTTTCAAGTCGCATTTCTTCTTTGCTTGGTGTGAGTATTCAGTATTCTTTGCTACAGCCAGATCGGCTGCTGGAAGGTGCGGCTTCATAACTTAGGAGGCGACTGCTCGCGTCCGCGACGCTGCTCTGCGAACATGCTCTCTGATCATTTTCTAGCCTTAATTAGGTCACCCGAGCCCCGCCTTCCAGACGCCGATCTGGTTCAAGCGAAGAGTATGCTGTAGAGCCAGTTATTGCTAATGTGAAAATTTTGTGCTAAGTATGCAATTTGAAAGGTGCAAGAGGTTTATATACACACGCTATGAAATTCAACCGTGCGATAATGTCCAAGCTGGCCATTGTGAGGGCATGCTCAAATTTAGCACTGAATCTACTTAAGTGAGTAAACAGAATTGTACCATATCAATGGTACTCGTCGACTTCAATCGTTTGCATGGAAGATACCTAACAGGCAGCAAGGTATAATCAAATATCCTAAAAGATGTCACAAGAAAGAATTAGTTCTGTGTTAAAAAACTATTCCATATGACAGAAAGGAATTAAAGATTACGTAGCTGCGGGCATAACCCATACCACTCAAACCACTCAAAGGCACGTTCAACCGAAACCTTGACTGTGATGTTTTTGTGGTTGCGGGACCTTCTTATGTCCCTGATTCCGAATATGAAGTCGAGAAATCGCGAAAACCCCACAAAACCCGTTCCGCAACGGTTTATTGGAGGGCGGGGCACGGATGGGCGGTTCTACCGAATGAAGGCGTGGTCAGAGTACCGCGCCCTTCTTTTCAGTCTCGTCCGAAGCGTTTTTTTTCTCTTTAGGAGGATGCACCTTTGTTAAGCAGGCTTGAACTGTTACGTAGCGAGGAGCCGTCTCTTACATTGCTTCAACATTTGACCACCCTCAATTTGGATGGACGATGCCTATAATAAAGTTGCCTGAAGGCTGCGGACCTCGACTTCATGAATCTTCGAAAAACAAGAAGTGACTCTAATGTCAGAGCGTAATGGATTTGCATTTTGAACATGATAAAATTGCAACCTGCTTTCGCATAATTTGTACAAAGTTACTCTGTGGACAGTGTTGTGTACAAGATTTACTTGTAAAGTTTCCTCCATTTCCTTGTTACAGTTCGTATGCTGCTGCTCCTGCACGAGAGCAACAATAACTCTGTGTGTAGTTCAGTGTCTGATCAATCACATTCATACCTTCGATACATAGAGCCATGTACTCTGGTAACCTTCACTTTGAGCGTCATGATAGAACACAATCTTCACCTGAAGAGAAGTACAGAAGCCATCCGGGGCGGAGCCCCGGATATCATGACATAACTAGTGACATAACCATATAGGGATGAATGTGAATGAGACAAATATAGCAGTGACAAGTGACATACAAAGGAACCTCAAAAAACCGAAGGATTGCGTTTTTATGGCCTTTTTTGCTGAAAGGAAGGTTTTTATTCAAATTATCAATTGTAAACTGGGACAAAATCTCTCAATTGACTTTCCTCTAGACTGCGATTGAGCGTTGGAAGTTTATGAAAGCCGCTGGAGTTCAATAAAAACAAAAAACTGTGCTCGAATCTTGAGCAGAGAGTCGCCACATAAATGCTGATCTATCTCGTTATGGAGTGATTTTCAAGACCCGCGACGTTGTCAGTGCTCTTGGCTGTCTCATGAGGATCACAACGATATATAATTTTATAGGGTTTCCTTATGACCCCGCGAAGATCAATGACCAGAGCCAAATGCCCCGCCGGCTCTGGTCTGTCTCCGCTGCTCGTCTGCGTCTCCGCGCGTTGCGCGCTACCCCGCTACCTCAAATGCGGGGCGCGGGCATTTGGCTCTGGTACCATTTTCTTCATTGTTCGGAGCCCAATTACGACAAACTATATATCATATTAAAGCTCTTGATCTCAAGTTTCGCGCTGACAATGTCGCAAGACTCCTTTTTATGATTCAAACGAGAAATCTCGAAAAAACGCCGTTTTCGGAAACCTCTGGTTTTTTCTTCAATTTAACTCTTTTCATCGGTTTTCTTATGTAGTCGATAGGTCTTGTTTCTGTCTATGATGTAGACAACGCCGCCGAGCTTACTTCTTTGCTTATGTCGGTTTTTCGTGAAACTAAGTGCGTTTTTCTTTACCTTGTTCTCTTTCAGTGCTTTCGCAACGAATTTTCTCCAGCTTGGACGATACTTGCTCGGAATGATGAGCGGAAGAATCTAGACAACGTCGCAGGATACGAAACGATTATGCGTTGGTGAAAATTCAAAGGGCGCATTGAAAATCAGATTGGCGTCGATGTGCAGCATATCTTTTCTGACGTGTTTAACATGTTCAATTGAGTTGTTAATCAGTTTTCCTTTTTTCGGTCTCCCAACTACCACCGTTACTAAACAGCGCTTTCTTAATTGGAAAGAATTTGTTCTTGTTGCCACCCAATTTAACCGGTAATTCTGAAGAGGAAACTGTGCGTAGGAAACCACCAAGTTAATGTTTTAAATTCGGTGAGTGCTAACCTCTGCTTTATATGAATTTTTCAAGTTTCCTAATTTAATTCGTATCTCTAAAGTTCCATCAATTTTTCTGAAACAACCTTCACTTTTTATAGGGAGCAGGAACTCAAACAACTATCACTTTCTAGCTTCTGTCTCTTGACTATCGAAGGTATGATCACATTTTTGTCGACAGGGACCCTGTGGGACAAGGTATGGCAGCAGTTCATGTCATTGTAGTCAATGTTCTCTCTATGACCACAAAAGAAGGAAGATGGAGCGGAACGCAGCTTTGATTGACCAATAAACTTATGAAAATCGCGATGAGCAGTTCTAATTCTAGCTAGAAATTCAAAATAAGTTTAGGGGTCCGTTCGCACATGTATATGAAGCCAAACTTGAAAATTTCGAGGTAATCAGCTAAAGTATTTAGCTATAGGCTTTCCGCGCTGCGCACAGAAAGCAACGATATTGCTTCCATTGAAGGTTAACTTATGACTGGAAGAAGCGCAGAGAAAACAGGCGGCGAGAACGGGGAAAGCGGAGTGACGCGCAATACACACCTTGCGCACTCTCCGCGCCCTGCGCGGACGGCCTATAAGCACGTATCGGCTGTCTGACCACTGCTTAGGTCAGTACTGCGCTCGGCAACTCGTTTGGAATACTTTGCTGTACGATATTAAGAAACCGTCCATTCAATTTTGAGGCATAGAGATGTTCTTCATTATGCAAAGCCCATCAGCAATTATCCAAGTAGGGACGGTCCGATCAGATCAGTTGTTCACTTCCTTTGTTTTTTATTCGCAAACTTAGCAGCACATAACATTTTGATGGCGTTAATTTATATGAGCTTTCATTTATAACAGTTCAGATATTTGTTGGCAGAGCTTGTCAAAACCCCAAGATTACTTAACTCCTAGAGGTTAAGAAGGTTAACAAGGTTACACACCTGCCACAATGTCTCTTGAGCAATCCTTCACGCATATTTGAACCTTCTTGGTTGATGTTGTAATCGAGTCCTAGGGGTCGATGTATAAAAACTGTGCAAAGTTGGCTTTTAAACGCTGCGTTTAAAAGAAGAAAATGGCAAAAAACTTTTAGGTCCGTTTGAATCATGCACACTTCCGTTATACCGTTATACGATCTCCGCGAACTGGATCTGTTCAGCAGCTCTTGATGTGTCTTTACGCGGCAAACACTTCGAAGACAAAAGTGCCTGTTAATGCGGGCTTTCAACGAAGATAGCGCCAGGGGCACCCATCCGCGGTTTTCACAAAATAGCCGCAGAAGAAATTTTCTTTGAAATTCACGTTCTCAACAGTCATATTTTGGATTAGGATCATAAGCATACCTGGATAAGACAAAAAAGTCGAAAATCTGCCAAGATGCTGCCTTCAAGAAGACGGCCAAGAAAGAATCGGATCTCGCCTCAAATGAGTGAGGGCACACGTGCTAACCGAGGTTTCCACTGGAGGGACATATTGGAGGACTTTGCTTATGGTGTGATTGTGAATTATCAGTTGTCCCTCATAGTGATATGCCTCGCGTAGTCGATCGCAACCTTAGAGTGCGCGGAAAATGAGCGCCACAAAAGGCGCTCACTCATAGCTTTAGTTATTTCAATTGTTCACTCATTCGCCTCTCATATTTTTACTGTTCTATAATTCTCTAATAAATTTTCTTTTTTGCTTTTGTGCCGTGCAACAGACGAAGACGACGAAGAGTGTCCAAGCTTGAAAGACAACAGTTCGCTATTGGTCTAAAAGCCATGTTCTTGTAATTCCTTGAAAGGAAAAACTCTGTTATATCGGAGTCTTTCAGTCGTAAGGAGCAAACCTTTTCGTGTACTACGCAATCCCTTTACACTTAAAATAAAATTTTTCGAAGCTCATACAACATTCGATACTCAAAATTACAGCTTAGCAGGTCAATTATAAGTTTTAAATAGACAGCTCTCATTATGTGTTAACGATACATGTTCACTGCAAATGAAACGATACCATCAAAAGCAGCGTCCCACCAGACTGGGGGTAACTGGCTCTCGTAATGATGTAATAGTAGACCCCCTACCTAAGCGATGACTGAAGTTCGGAGCGACAAAGGGGGTCTACCAAGCCTGGAATTTGCTCCGAAACTGGGCCGAATCTTACGGTAGGCTCGGGCGAGTGCGAGGTGCATGCAAGGTAGAGACGCAGAGTCGTTGCGGGTCCCTGCGCTCATGATGTGTGCGCTATACGCACTCTGGCCCTGCAAATCGATATTGCCGTGTGGGCGGCGTCCG